CTCTCTCTCAGCCGCGTCACAGATATTAATGACAACTTATTTTAAAAAATAGAATAAAAAATGTCTACAGTAAAAACTATCTGTCCGGTGAGTAGTAACATATTCAAAAATGTTTTTCTTATTGTGATATTTACAATTGCATTAGCATAAACACATCAAGTAAATGTGTATAGAGGAATATAATCACATGAAAACACTTGTTGAGAAACTACCCATTGGTAGTACTCTTAATATTATGTATACATAAGGAGATCACGAGGCCACCTTCTTTTCAGACACCTCGGAGGGTTATCAGGAATCGAAGAGGAAGCAAGGTTAGAAACGAGAGGATTCGGAAGTTTTATGTTAAATAAAGGAAAGTTTATTAGGATGAAGTTTATTATGGCTGGATTGGGCCAAATTGGAAACATATGGAACGTTATGGATTATTTTGTTTGCGAGAAAGTAAGGAGCATTGAGGATTTTACAAAGGATTTTGGATTGTAAGGATTGGATACGAGAGGAATTTGATGGTTTAGTAATTCATAACTTTTTTTAGTAAATTTTTTTTTGAGTGAGGATTTTTTTTTTAATATATCGATTGAATATTAAAATATATTTGAAACTATCAATACGATTTATATCGATATATATCATTTTTTTATTTACATTTCTGAGGTGATACTTCGCACTTTACTAAATCCAAGAAAATACTAGAACGTTTCTTTTTATATCTACTTATGTGCTATCAAAGCATTGGCTTCTATAGCATCCCTACTTAAGACAATGAGCCATCAGGAGTCAAAGACGGTCAGTGACCACTCCTGTTCGGTCCATTGTTCTTCCTGATCTACTTCTGGATCAATCTTCGACTAGGTTGAATGGCACGTGGCTTTACCGTCAAAAGACCTTGCTGGATACTCACTCATGGCTTGTTAAGATACGTATAAGAAATGTAACTTTCGAGGAATCTTACTTATTTCATATATCATCTTTTAACGTTTTCTTAAAACCTTCTAAAATGAAAAAAAAAAAAACTTCAATTTATAAATTTTAATTACTTGTTAAGTATTGCGTCTTTATCAAAAAAGTCATTCTAATTATACCACGTCTTTCCTCTTGTCTCATATTTTTTTATAGATAAGGCCTAATTACTATTAGACATCGATGACAGATGTGTCTATAAAATAACTTGATTTTTAAACGAGTACTCTAACTTGGGTATAATAAGTGAAAACAAAAATTCTTTTAGTGAATAACTATGAGGAATAATCTCGATTTTATTGATTGCTTAGGTCTACTTAGGAGATCAAAATTAGTTTTTATAGTCATTAATTTTATGTTTACGTTGTTTTTCTTCACAGTATTTAGACTTTAAAAATATATACATCAATTCACACCATTCTGTACCAGGGACGCAATCAGATGAAATGAATCCATTATTCGGGATTATGCCTTGTTTCAGGACATCAAACTAACCAACTAAAAGTCTGGGTATTTGCTAAATGAGTGGCCTCATATCAAAGACTGTTTCTGATGTTTTTATTCAAAATGTTTAAGTTGGATCATCAGAAAAAAAAAACATTATTATTGCGTTGAATTGAAGCGATGTTTCAATAAATTGGCCTTTTCTCAACAATGACAGATGTCCATCTTAGATATATGAAGCCACTCATATGGACAGTCTATCTCTGAGTAGATGGGTCTATCTTCTCTTAACTGCCATAATCCATAGATCTTGACGGATTCGATCTCCTTAAATTTTAAACCCGAATGTAAAATGTAAAACCATCATTCCCTTTTTATACAAACATGCCTAGTCTATGTGTCTTCCTATTAAAAAATTCCGTGAAGTCAAATATCTTTACTTTCTTTCGAGACATCTGCTGAATGAAGTATATAATTTTTGTTTTCACATGATCTTACTGGATTCAAGCAAACGTATAATGCCAATTACAATTTAAGAAATTTACTTATGGCGAAAGGCCAGTATTGAGATTGCATCTTTATCAAAAGCAGTTCAGGTATTTAGGGAACTAGCTTCCTTTAGTTTTGGCATTACTACTCGAAAAGTCTGATCTGTAGATAAAGTGGTTTTTAAATGTATGTCTTAATCTTTAAACGAATCTTTTACGTTTTGATCTTACCCATTCCACCAAAAAAATAATTCTTTTCTTAAAAATTAAAAATCTCTTATTTTAGTATTATTTTTAGTATTTTATAGTATTATTGTTACGTTATAGACATAAATTACGCGTTTATGGTCGCAGTTAATTTGTAAATCCTGTAGTAATTATGAGACATAATTATTGACTTTAAACACGTTTTCTATTTTTTTTTTTTTTTTTTAATTTATACAATCATTCTTAAGATTTACTTTGAGCCAAAACCAATTTTCATTAAAACTTAAATAGTTTTGTAATAAATTATAATTACCTCACAGTATATTGTTTTAGATTTGTTTTTTTACTTAATGTATTTATAAAGAGCCCAGATCCAAGTCTAACTGTGACAGATAATTATCTATGCTGTTAGAGCCGGTATCGAACTTGGGTAAAGAGACCCTCTTTGGTAACACTCAGCCTCTATAAAGCGGATTCTCTTAATTAAATAATTCATTAAAAGAAAAAAAACGATTAAGCATAATCTTGGCCCACATCCTTGCATAACCGTTGCAAATGAAACGAAAAATAATTTTATTCTGCGACTGAAGTCCCCTTAGAATAATAGTAGAGTTTAAAAAATATGTACAATAGTCTGGCTTGTAAGTATCGTACAAATATACACAAAAAATACCTAGGAAATTGTAAAATACAAATATATATATTAAAAAAAGATACAAAAGAAAATAGAAATATCTACAAAACATACTAACGATAAACATAGATATATACAATAAATACTGAGATATAAAAAAAAATTAATAAATAAAATAAAATGACTATCAATCAATTTATTGCTGGTGACCAACTTAATTATATAACCCAGAAATTTTTACAAGCTTGCGGAAGTTTGAATTTGTTGTAGGTGGTGGAATAGGAGTTGTTTGGAGGAGTTTATGGATATGGTTTGACGTAAGGAGTTCCATAAGGAGCTAGCACGAATGACGAAGGATTTACTGAAGTAAGTGGTTTTATGGGAGGGGATAAATAGATCTATAGGTTGAGATCTGGTGTTGAGAGAGTGGATAGAGGAGCGTAAAGTAACTTTTGGTTACAAAGTACTAAACCCCAGAAACTCCTTAGAGTGCATTGGTACAGATGTATAAATATATATATATATATATATATATTAAATGCTACAACCATCTTGCAACTAATCTTTATTCCCACGGAGAATAAAAATCTTTATTCCTCAGGCGCGTCTTATATACCATACCGCATTACAAACCGTCCATGACACTGAGTTGTTGAACTGACAGCTTTGCAGTTGTAGCTTTCAAAATTAAGCGTTTATTTTTAGTAAATATAGAAATTATTAACGGTGTAAGGTTAGCATTTGTTTTCCTGTGTGTATAAAACGTTTTTTTATTTTATTTATTCAAGGCTCGTTTGCGTTAAAACTAACTAATTTTCAGTGGATCACGAAAAAGAACTATTTAGGACTAGTGAGGTAAGGCAATTCTTTCAAAAGAGTGCTTTTCGTATTCTCCATCAATTTTCCGTACTAATGAAAGCAGAGTTTGTCATTGTTAAAACCACTTAAGAATTCCTTTGAGCAGCTAAAATAATTTAAGTTCTTTTAAAAAAAAAATCATTAATTATTCGCGACTTTTTTTATAACCCTTTTATATATAGATAGAAAATACCTTTATTCTTGGACACAGTTCCTTGAGAATAACAAAATAGAACAAAATTAAAAGATTACATCCGGCCAAAACAAAATCAATTGAAAAAAATAATAATATAAAGAAAATATAAGGTAAACATTCTATATACAAAACAAACGAAACTATATACAAAACAATTAACACTATGACAAGACACTTAATGCTATTTGCACTGATAGACCAGTAAACACTTTTAACAATAAAAAATTAAAAAATTAAAATATATTAAATTTATACTACAGATACCCCACTTTTATAAAACCTCACTTAATAAGCTTTAAGTATATATTAATTAAGTTGAGGTTTATTGAGGAAAAATTTAGATTTACCTCAAGTTGTTTAAAAACATGATTTAATTTTTTACACCTTAAAGTACCCGCGTTTTCAGCAAAACTTTTATTTCTTCTTTTCCACTGTCTTGGATGTATTATAATAAACAGTTGCCTGTATACAGTCTTGTAATACTAATTTAATTTTAAGCTGTTAATAATAATTATTATTTCTGTCCTTGAAAGGTTCTGTCCTAGCCCTAGTTCCCTTTTTGACTATTCTTGCCCTCGTAATCCATCTTTTGCAGGTCATAACCGCTTCTTAACGTCCTGCCAAAAGATGTCCCTGTTAGCGAAGAGGGTGGGGATATGTAAGTTGCGCCTGCTAAAATAAGGACCAACTATAAATGTAAGATCCGTGTGGGTCAGGGATGGGCGTCAGTCCCCTATTGACCAGCCCAGAGGCGGGTAGAGTCGACAAGTCTCTTAGTATCACAGTGCGCTCAACTCTGACCATATAGCAGTTATAGTAGTAATTAATAATATAAAGCGTATAGTTAGAGTTTCGCTAAAGTGAACTATATGAGCATTCGTGTATTATTTTATATATAACATTGTGATAGTTATTGTGATATAAACTTTTTTTATCATATAAATAATTTTAATTCTATTAGTTATAAACAAAAATATGCCCGAAACAAGTGATTAATAAACCCTTTGACATGTTGTGTTCTCTTCGATACAGTACGAACGTGTGCTTTCGAAAAGGCTTGGTAGACTGCCAGCACCGTTGGCAAAACAAAACAGTCGTATTAATAAACAACAGTGGTAACCTCGCGTATGTTAAAATACTGAAAGGGGTCAAAGACGTACGATAGGGCCATGTGTTCCACGGAGGAGTAGCGAAATGGAAGTTGACGGATATGAGCATTGAGCTGCAAGAAGAGGCTGGTAAGTCTACGAATTGATGAGCCAAAATTTTATTATTTTTATTTTAGTTAAATCAAATTTTTATACTTGATAAACCATGGTACAGAACTTACTCCTTGTAAGCAAAAAAGTCGTTCACTCGAAAAATGAAAATTTCGAAAATTCTACTAGGATATGCCAACCAGCGATGGACATAGCTTAGAAAATTTTTCTATTTTTTTGGCTTATGTCGCCGTAATTATTTTAGTCATAAACTTCTCTGTTGGACCTTAAGTATCTCTAGGGTCTCCTTTTTCTATTTAGCACTTTAAAAATGAAAAAATATTCAGTTATGTGCGTATAATCTCCATTTTAAAAAAACAACACCTTTTTGCAATAGTGATGGACATCCCGAAGTTCAATTAGCCTACTAATGAACAGGAGTTCAGTACCAGTAATGGACATACTTCAGAAAAATTCTAAGTTTTTATTTAACTTTAAAGATAACGATAGCATAAATGTTCAATTTACTCTTAGCAAAACTGTCAGTAGGAAGGTATGAAACTCACTGATCTCAAGAGCAGTAAAGAAACAACAATGATAGGCATTATTTTTCAATATAGAAAAAAACTGGAATGTTGCAATCAACAAGGGAGCTTATTATTCATATTTAAAGTCCAACCTGTCCATAACTGGCGTGTTCGCCATACCGATTAACGACATAATTTTCGCTCAAAAATTTCATTAGAAAATTTACTGTCGAAAGTGGTGCAAATTTTTGTTTTCTGTTTCGTAGCCTTCATAAAAGTGTTAACGGTTTTTCTTAACTACCATAGGGCTACAGCTGATATCTAAAAAATAATTCAAAAATGAGAATTTCAAAAATTCAAGACGCCAGAACTCTGTATTAATTAATAAATATCTGAAGTTCTGCTCTAATAATGTTATAAAGCTTTTAAGTTGGATTTCGGTAAATGCGAAGTTAGCATCCCTTATTCTTAAGCTCTGTTTTTAGTTTATTAAACAGCAGAACTATTTGTAAAGATAATATGCAGCTCTAGAAATCTTATGCCGGCGTATCCTATAATTCAGTGGATTATGAATAGCTCCTTGTTTTATTTAGATCATTATCATCTAATCCTTAAAATTAGAGGCTTTACTCTAGAAATTCAATTTTAGGTAAAATAACAAAAAAAAAATTGACTTTTAACATGGCTCAAAAATGTTTTCAAAATTTTGAAGCAAGACTATCTAATAAAAATTCCCCATTTGCTTTTATCTTTTTTTTTTTTTTTTTTTAAATGATTTCTTATTGATATATTTCTACATTAAATTAGCTTTTAATTTAGTTGCTATTTAGTAGGCTGAAACTCCATACACTATAGGTAAATCTAATAAAAATATTGGTACAATCCTTATAGTATCCTGTAAAACTTGCCAGAGAAAATGTTAGAATTAGTAGAAATTGGTGTTTCACTCATGATTTACGATCGAGTGAATGATTAATGATTCAGAAGCTGCACTTTTTAGTGAATGATAAACTGTAATTTCAAGTTATTTATGTTTTTCTGTGCAAGAACTCTGTGCTGTACTAGATCATTATCAGCTGCTCCTTAAAAATAGCGGTTTTGATAATTGGTTTCTATATATTTTTCATAGATCGGGGTATAGACCCCTTTTTATCAAATTATTGACACCCGTTAACAATTTCGTGAATGGCTTTATCTTATCGTAGCCTATAAATTTTTCAATGGGGCGTTTTCATTCTGGAGATCATAAAACTTAATATATTTAATGAGGTACTAAAAATTCTTGAACACCTATTTGCTTTCCACTTGAATCGTAAGACAATTTGATCACAAAATCAAGAAAAAATATGGTCTATGGTCCGCTTGGCGTGACCTTCACTCCCAACATATCAAAATAACAAGGTTATATAGCCCAACATTTTTTAAGTCGTATTTTTTTCTAATGTTTTTTTATTAAGTTTTCCTTCTGTATACAAACGTTTCTGTCTACCAAATAACATTTAAACCAATAGTTAATTTAATATAAAATATTTTAATAAGCATTAATTTCTAAAAAAAATAAAATAAATAAACATCAAAAAAAAGGAAAATGGGAAATTTATAATATTCAATTTTAATTCTGTATTATTTACCACTGTCAAGTTTGTCTCTTTTTCAAAATTTTGGAAACATTTTTAGAGCCATATTAGAAGTCGTTATTTTTGTTTTGTTTTTTTAGTAAAAGTTAGATTTATAGGATTTATAGTGTAAAGTCTTTAATTTTAGGAATTTATAGACACGCCAGCATATGATTTTAATAAATATTTTTTTGTTTAAAACACTGAAAATAGCACTTAAAGATATAGGATACTTAAGTTCGCACAAGTTGAGTTAAATTAATATTACGTCATTTACCAGTAAGTTTCGTTTAAAGTTACGATAAATCCCCATTTAAAATTCACCTCATTAAAATGGAACTCATAACAGTAATTTTTTTTCCTTAATTGTTTTAATCCTAATTATTCTTTTTATTTCGGACAGTTGTGTATTTATAAAGTTTAAAAAGAAAATAAACTCGACCTGTTTTTATTTTTTTTTTTCATTTCGTACAAGCAAAGTGGCCTTCAATCTCTATTGCATCCTTGGATAGTATCCAAACGGGAGTAAATTATTTAAACGGAGTGAGTCTGCATTTAAATAAATTTAATAATTTAAAAAACTGTTCTGTGATACTTATGCACTGGAAGAAATAGACACAAATACATGCTGCTATAGACTAGACTACGCCTCAAATGATCTATTAAAAAAATAATAAATGTAGATAAAATTTTCTTTTAGTTTCTAAAGATTAATGTCTCCGAGAATCGCGTTGTCCATCTCTACCGAAAGATGCCAGGTAATTTGGCCGGTTAAACCGAACTCCAATTAATCTTATGGCGGATAAGAATACCGTTTATATATATATATATATATATATATATATATATATATATATATTTGATACAAAAATCTGTAAATATATAAATATTTTTAAAATAAAAAATTTGTGGCACATATATATATTTTTAATAATAAAACATTTTCTTATTTTTATCCTTTATTTAGTTGTTGTATAAATTTTTAACAATAACAAAGTGTAAATCTAATTATTTAATAATAGTAATGATTTAATTATTATTTAATAAGATAACTGTCATCTTACTTCTGGTTTATGAACAAATGCATAAATTTGGCCAATGCTACCAAAGAAATTTTTTAATTTTTGATTATTCATTTTTATTTCTTATGATCAGTAATCCCTCAACATTCTCGGGTTTCAATTAATGATAAATAAAAAAAAAAATCGAAAGAATTCTACGTTTGCATAAACGAGTCTACTATGGGAGAGAATACTTTCGGGCTGACCTCAGAAATGGGAAAAAAAATTCTTTTTATTGTTTATGTGAGCGATGTAAATTTAAATAGTTAAACAATCACAACGCATTCTCTTTTTAAATCAGTAATGTAAGCATGGATCAAGAAAAAGTATTTAAAAAAATCATCTCTAAAGGTATTATTATTCTTGTAATTATAGTTATTTATTTAATTATTTTTAACAATTATTTAAGGATATTTTTTATTTTTAAACATAGTTTCATTTAAGTATTAATTTTTTATTTTATTTTTTCTTACATACTAATGACCGTTATAAAATAAAAAAATTACCGTGACGAAAAAAAGTTAAGTCCTAGATTCTCTGATGTATTTTCGTTAATTGTTTATTTATTGAAAATACGTATTTAATTATTAGGTATTAATCAATTGTAAAATTTATTTTAAAAAATCCATTGAAATAATTCGATTTTTTCGTTCGTAACGAATTAGAATTTTCCTTATTTCATAACGAAACTAAGTTAATTAGAAATGTGAGAATATGACTGAAGTTTACATAAGTGGCCTTAATAAAATGTTTTTTAAAACGTTATTTCAATTTAGGACCCCTTTTAATTTTTTTCACGCATGATTCTAACCGTTCAACAATTAAATCAAAAAAGTTTATAATAATCTCGAAATTGTTCTTCCTATAAAATTTAAGAAGAAAATCGATCCAGCGATGAATTTAAATACAAACACAATTAGCCAAAAACACTGATAACACGCAATTTGTGGGCAAAAGTTTATTTAAATTTACAAATATATATACATTAATTTATAATTGTTGTATCTGTAAACTGTAATTAATAATAATAAAAAACAATTTTTTTTTCATTGTCATTCATGAAACCCCACTATTTATGAAGGAAAAATTTCGACGGACTATTTTATTTATAATAATATTACATATAATAATATTTAATAAACATGATAATGTACATCGCTACTGTTATTGCAGAAGGTCGATTTATTCTTATTCAATTTATGCTAAAGGTGACATTTGTAGTTAGCAACTGCTATAAGTAGTTTGCTACTTTGTTAAATAATATAGAGAAATAAAATATAATATTATACTTTTTAAAAAAAATCGATTTTCACATACGATCGTCTTTTGCACTAACAGTAACAATATGTTAATGATAATAATTATATTAACTTCCATGCATAAATTATATTCATATAATAATACGGCATATTGCGTATGAATCTTGAAATTTTCTCATTACTCAGGTGTTTCCATTTTGCAATGGCGGTCTACTTGTAGTTATAAATAGTCCACTCTACGTCCTTCGCAACTCTGAGAGAAGTTTTGTTGACATTGGCGAAGTCAACAAAACTATTAATTTATTCCTAAGAGACCATCCTCCGTTCCTTTCAAAACTAAGGTTTAAACTTGAACCATTCCAGTGTGGGTATGTCAATAAACTTTACTAAAACATAAATTAAGATGTATAGAGTAAAAGGTACATAACATAATTTTCTTTTTTTAGTATATGCCTATAAAATATGTAACTATTAAATATTTTGAATATAAACTATGAAAGAATTTGATAATAAACCAAATCAACAAAAAATGAGACTCATTTTCTCTTCTTGGAAAAGAATAGAATTTAATAAAAT